TTCCGTTTATTTTTTAACCTCACCACTGGGACCTGTTCCCTGCGATTCACTGAAATCACACACCATGGCTCTGGAGGTCATTGAAAACAATAGGGCAAGGTTCCTCCCAGCACCCAGATCCTGGCGTGGTCTTAGCCCCGCGGCATGGGCAAACAACAGCAAGCAACAAGCTCCTGCAGATAATGGTCCCCAGCTGACCTGCAGCTACCGCCCACCACTGAGGTTGGAGCCCTCTCTAATTAAAATGCCCTTCTGAGGGCTTAAATTCATTTTACCCAGAAGTTGGGGTGCCTGTGATCGGGTGTGACAGCTCAGCTGGGCACAATTTGTAGGATTTTCTTCCAGGCAATGGACAGCTGATGGTATAAAGGGGGTGATGGAGGGCTAGAGTTTTTTTTCTAGCTCAGGTACCACTGCTGGCTGTCAAGGATGGAAGATGAGGGTAAGGCTTTGCTCCTCAAGAATAAGGGCATTTTTATTTCTTTAATTGTTCCAAACCCCTCTTTGTGCATGCCCTGATATTCACAGCTTGCCTGTTAATCTCCCATCTAGGGATCAAGCCTGATGGCAGGGTTTAACATTAATAATCCATGGATAATTCAGCAGCCTGAAAGCCTAGGGTAAATTCCTGGGGTTTTTTTTAATGTTTTTTTTTTTAATAGGTTTTTTGAAGTCCATGGCAGAACATTCACTGCTGGTGGGGGCTTTTCCCTCCTGGGGATGGGGGAAAGCATATTCACAGAGGGCTCCTGGGTGTGCCATCGTGTATGTTGATGCAGCAGATCCCTTAATTATCCCATTAGGTTTTCTTGACTTTGTTTTTGATGTGATTGAGTGTTCAGCAAAGTTGCTTTAATCCCTTGTGGATTTGGCAGGGCGTGGCCTTGACAGAGATTTTTTTTTTTCCCCCTGAGTATTAAAGGTACGCGTGTGCAGGTGAATGGCTGCCTCACGTGGCCTGATGCTGAGCCGGACCAGCCGTTGGCCAGGGAGCTGGATGGGGGACGTTGAGCGGCGCAATCAGGAACCTGGCTCTTGTGCGTGCTTCTCCTCCGAATCACAGAATGATAGAATGCTTTGAGTTGGAAAGGACCCCTAGAGGTCACCCAGCCCAACCCCCCTGCCATGAGCAAGGAGGTCCCCAGCCAGACCAGGTTGCTCACAGCCCCGTCCAACCTGGCCTGGGATGTTCCCAGGGATGGGGCCTCCACC